GAAGTGACGCCTAATGGTTTCAAAATGGCTTCCGTACGCAGTGCCTGCCACATGGTTCAACTTCCAGACCCAGTGACTTGAAAAACATGATAGTCAAATGTATGTGTATGCCCAAAATCCCAAGAGGAGAATGGAGAAGAAGGGATTGTGGTGTGACCATCCCTCCTGGTGGTGTGTGGCTGGGGAGGGAGGGGCTTTCTTTCTCTCTCTCTCTCTATCTCTCTGTCTCTCTCTCTCTCTGGTGAGTGCATGCACCTTATAGCAAAAATTTTAAAAAAAGAAAAAAAATTTAATTAAATTTTAAAATGGAGGAAGAACATTTCAGGCATGAAGTCTTAAGGAAGGGCCTATAAATGGTAACTTAGTATAGTTGGAGTCCAGTGAAGATATCATAAAGGCTCTTGGACCTCCTGGCTAAAGGAAGATGCTATCCTCTCAGAGAAAGAAGAATCATTGAAGAGTCTTAATTGGGGGGAGTGTCAAGTCTGTGATTCTGAGACCTCCTGTCAGATGCCACAGAGGACAGTTTGAAGGGGAGAGAAATTGGTGGCAAAGGGACCAATGTGGAGGCTGTTACATTGTTCCAGAAAACATGCATGCAAAAGGCTATGGCATTGGGGCAGGGGGCAGGGACCAAGGGTCAGAGATGTTTAGTGAATCCTAGTTAACATTATGACGACTGAAGTGGTTAGGGATGACCTGTTTTGGGATAGAGCATACTGATGTTTATAACTTGCTTTGAAATGCAACAAAAATAAGAACATGTGATGAAGCAATTAAATTTTAAAATGGAGGAAGAGCATTTCAGGCATGAAGGGAAATATTCACTGTTCACCATAAAATTATGGTGGACAGGGAAAAGAGCTGTTTAAGTGGCTGAAGTCACTGGACAGGGAGACCAGTTCTCATGGGTGAGGATCCAGAAGACCTCTCCTTCAATGCCCCTCATTTGCCTCAGTTACAGTGCTTTGCCCACTAACTCCTACCTGCACTGTGTTCTCTCCTTGCCTCTGTGCTTCTGCAGCCTGGGAGGTCCAGGACAGCAGGCAGAGATAAGCATGTTCCAGATTACTCATAACCAAAACACTGATGCATAATCCAAAGGCTAAATCATGCTCCATGCTGGGGACATAACTTGCCCCTGGTGTCTCTTGCACCCAGTGACCCCTGTAGATCACAAATTCTCTGAGTAGCTGACTTAGTGAACACACACTCAGAAAAAAATGGAACTGCATGTCTTTGGACTGCATTTTGGAGATGGCAAAACTTGGAGGAGTATGGCATCATGGAGAGGATACCAACCTAGATGTACCTGAGTTCAGAACCCAGCCCTACCACAGACTCCAGCTAGCTGTGAATCCTTAGGCACATTTCTTAACTTCTCTGAGCCTATTTCTTCACTACCATTACTAAAATGATAATGTTAGTAATTCATTGCAAAATGTTTTGCAAAAACTAAAAGAGGTCATGAAAGGAAAGTTCCTGGCTATTAGTACATATATCATTTGTATTGGTCTTCCACTGTGTCAAATGAACACTGCTTCAGGAGCCAGTGCCGGGCTGCGTGGCAGGGACGATGCTGAGCCGGCTTCAGGAGCTACGCAAGGAGGAGGAGACACTGCTGCGGCTGAAAGCGGTCCTGCACGACCAGCTGAACTGCCTGAAGGTTGAAGAGCTGGCCCTGCAGTCAATGATTAGAACTAGAAGAGGGGATGAAGTGCTGCCTTCTCAACCTGCACCCGAACAGGCACAGGACATGCTGATGAATGTGGACAATGAAGCATCGATCGACCAAACTACTCTGGAGCTGGGCACAAGGAGCTGTGTGATGGAAGAGGAGGAAGAGTCAGATTCCTAAAGGAGAAGAGCCAGAGTTAGTTCTATAACTTAAATTTCAAGTGGCAAAAAAAATTTTTTTCCGAAGTCTTTGGCATTTTCTTCAGAGAAGCCACCTTGCTGCTATAGGCACTGTGGCCTGCTCCAGAGGGAAACAAGGCCCACAGGAGTCTGTGTAGTTTTGGAAATGGTTCCATCAATAACCAGTCTCCAAAATGTTTGAGCAGAAATGAATGACATATAGAAAATCAAAGCTGTAGTATCAGCATTGTGCAGACTGGGCAGGGCTCTCTGTAATCTGGTCTGATTCAATAACTGTGTCCCACACAGACAAAACTTCCTCTGAAATACTATTGGGAAAGTCTGACGTTTGCAAGAAGGGCAGAGTTTAAATACAAACCAGGCTTCCCAGTCAACAATGCCTTTTTAAGAAAACCAATTAGAGGCTGTTGACATACCCTTGAAACTTTGTGAGCAGTTAGGCCACAGCAAGAAAAGGAAGATGACCAGGGGAGGACAGGGGGCCACTTGAGAGCTCAAGCTGCTGCCTTCTCCGAGGTATCGAACACCGCCTACTGCCGACTGCTCTGTGTGGTTGTTCCCACCACTACCAGGGCACTGCACAAAGCTCTTGGAAAATGGGGTTAAAATACGGTCAGCAGGTGGTATGGCGGTGAAGGCAATGGATTTCATATAGCTGATTGCAGTTTGAGTCCTGAACCTGACGGGAAATTCACACCGAGTGTGTGTGCTTGCCCTGCATACCCAAAATTCCTGGAGGAGAGACTGTGGCATGGCCATCCCCCCAACAGGTGATTTTTCACTCTCCGTCTCTCTAGCAAGCACACCCTGTGGCCGAAAAAAAAATGGGAGGAGAGAATGAGTCTTCTTTTGGTATAAGAAATCCATGCATAGTTTTGTAACATACACGTTCCATAAACTTTTTGTAGGTTAATAGACTCACTGGTTATTTGCTTAGAGATAACAAAAAAGAAAAGCAGTCTCCAGATAACAAAAAAGAAAAGCAGTATTTTCTCCTCTAAGCAAAACATACAGCAAAGATGGTATAAAACCCATTGCCAGGGCTCACTTCAGGCAGCATGTACACTAAAATTGGAACAGTACAGTAAGATTAACATGGCTCTTGGGCAAGGATGACATACAAATCCATGAAACACTCCATATTTTTAAAAATTTCATCCTAAACTGGTCAACAGGGACAAAGCAGTGACACACCTGTCATGCCCAGGGAACAGGTGGTGAAGAGGTTGATGATTCAATGAGCATAAATGACAGATTTAAGACTGAGTATCACAGATGGAGGTGAGACAGACATTACTGTCACCAGTCTTGAAAGATTCAGTACACACACTTCAGATTAAGATGAAAAGTTAAGTGAGGCTTCTGGAAGTAGGGCTGAAATGGTCAAAGAAGTGATGTGGAAGACACCACCAAAGGAGAGGTACAGGAAAGTGGAGTTCTTGATGCTGTTCCTGTTGATAAAAACCTCTTTTACTGGAGAAGATTTGGGTGAACTAGAAGAATTAAACTTTTGATTTTGAAGACTAACACCAAACAAAAAGTGAAAAAAAAGCCACCTCAGTGTGAGTTGAAATTGGCTACATATTTTTTCCTACTAGAATCAACAGGATGTTATTTCCCATGCTGATTCTGGAAGGCTTAGCCTTCTCCAAAAAAAGGAATATGCTCCCTATGGACTTTCTTTGGACTTTGACTGTATCTCATAGTAAGTTCAGAGAAGTTCATAATAAATTGAAAATATAATGGTCATTGCAAATAAAAAAAAAGAGAGAGAGAGAAAAAATCACTTCCCTAGAAACTGGAATAGTAATGCCTTTCAGAAGCTGTAGTTCTTTTGCTTTAACACTAGACAAACATAGAAGGAGTCTTGTTCTCTGAAGTCCTTTTTGAAAAACTAGTCACTCAAAGTTTCATTACTTCATGCCAGACACACATGTCCAATAGCAAGAAGATTAGAAAATTCTTTGGCCACCAACTGTACTAAGGGAGACACATCAGTCCTATCGACAACATACCTGCTTCCATTTGCCATGATGGGTAGCTACTTTTGTAGGTGGTTGATTTCATCCAATGTGAAGATTTTTTTCTACTGGTTGCAGTTTCCCAAAGTGACTATTTCCTCCTTTTGTCTCCCAAATTCTGGGCCCGGGATTTCACATGCATTGACCACCTATGAAAGGGATCAAATAGTTCTCTGTGCTTTGTTGCTTCCAGATCTCCCTTTCAGAATAAGCTCTACTGGGATCCCAGGAAATAAACTGTAGCCCTTGGGTTATGGAGTAGGTAGGGCAGGGCAATGAGTTTGGGCCAAAGTTTGTGAATCTCTGTCCTGGGAAGAGGGCTGCTAGTTTCCTTTTCTGATTTTTCTTGTTTAAGTAACATGTGGAAGAATCAATCTGAGGAGATAATTAGAGAATACATCTGGCAGCCATTACTGGCTCTGAATGACTGCACACTCCAGCACACGTTACCATGGTTTCAAGACTGAATTTTCTCCTCTCTGTTCGCCCTGTCCTCTCTTCAGTAAATTTGTCATTTGGCTCCACAGACTCCTCCGAAGTCTGCCTCCACAGACTAGTGCAGACATAACCCTGTCTAGAAAGTGGTCTATTTTTGGTTTGTTTTTCATATAACATTTATTGCCTTTTCTCTTGAATTAAAAAAAAAGCCAAGTGATATAAAAGTATATAATATAAACAGAAGAAAATGAATGATATAAACTCATATTCCAGAACTAACACTTAAAATTCTGTCATCTTTCCTGCCTCATCTTTTTGTGATGCACACTGCATGGCTGAGATTGTACATGATTTTGCATCTTACTATCTTAACCTGCTTTTGACCTAGAAACTCCCCACCCTTTTCTCCTTGGAGTTGTTGGCCCAGGAGTTGTAACTCTGGCCAAATTCAGTCATGTACATGGCCTTGCTTATTATCTTTGTTACTGAGGGGTTTTGTGTGAGTGTGTGTGTGTGTGTGTGTGTGTGTGTGTTTGTTTTGTTTTGTTTTTTTTGAGAGAGATTTTTGCTATAGGGTGCTTGTGCTAGCCAGAGAGACAGAATGCGAGAAATCACTCTCCAGGGGATGGCCACACTACAATGCCTTGTCCTCCACTTTCCTTTTGGGATTTTGGGCACATAAGCACACACACTCAGATTTTCAAGCTGCCATGTTGGGGACACGAACTCCGTTGGCCACATGGAAGTCCAGTGCCTTAATCAGTTGGCCACCTGGTGGTCCCATGTTGCTGTTTTTTTTTTTTTTTTTTTTGGAGAGGTTTTTGCTATAGGGCACGTGCGCTTGCCAGACAGACAGAGAGAGACAGAGACAGAAAGCGAGAAATCACCCCCCAGGGGGGATAGTCACGCCACAATCCCTTCTCCTCCATTCTCCTCTTGGGATCCTGGGCACGCACGCACACGCACCCAGCGTGAGTTTTAAGCCACCAGGTCCGGGACGCGAACCGCGGTCAACTACATGGGAGTCCAGCGACATAGCCATTACGTGCTAACTGCTGGTTCCCATCCCATGTTGCTGTTTTTATCTGCTGGAATGCATGGAGTTCTCACAATGTTTCAGGCACTAAATTTTTGCCAGGCTTATCATCCTCCCAGGCTTATTATCCTCCCACTGGTTCTTCACTGGGATCTGAATCATTTGCTTCACTCATGACTTCCACAGTCAGTAGTCACAGACAAGGCCCTTTCCAATGGGGGGGGGGAATGAAGTAAAGGTGCCTCCTGGGCCTCCTGGTTGTGGGTGATCCAAGGAACAAGAAGCCACATTGTCATTGTCACCTCCCCACTCCACCCCCATTTTTCAACTAGACCTGGAAAATAAGTGTAGGGGTGAGATTCTCCTCAGAAGAGGAAGAACAATGATTCTTTCAGCACCAGATACATCCTTCAGTCTGTCACTCCCAGTTTGAAACAATGAGTAACCAAGATGGGTTCAGAAGTCACAGCAGCATAATAAGGGGGCTCCTTGTTATGTCCGAGTTGGGGATGGGCATGATTGCAGAAACGCCTGACCCTTGGTTTGGGCACCAAGCATCCCCTAGTTCAACAAGGTTGTATCCAAAAGTTAAACTCTGAGCTGGACAACCTAAATGTTCTGGCTGGTAGTGGAAAGCCGGAGCAGCTATCTCATAATGGAGAAAAAGCCCTGACATCATACACAAATTACTGGAGAGGGGAGGGGCAAGGATTCTAGGTAAAGGGAGAAAAAAATGTGGGCCATAAACTCAAAAATTATTCTTCTTGAGGCCAGTCCATGGCACTCTGGTTAAGGCAGGTGGATCCCACACAGCCAACTGTGGTTTGAATCCTGGACCTGGTGGCTTAAGAGGCAAGCCAAGCTGGGTGCATGTGTTCCTGCCCTAAATAGCAAGAGGAGAACAGAGAAAGGATTGCAGCACCTGCAGAGGTGGTGAAGGTGAAGGGGGGACTTTCTCACATTCCCTCTCTCTGTCTCTTTGAAGAGCGCCTTTGCCCTATAGCAAATTAAAAGAAAAAAAAAGTATTCATCTTAAGTTATCACTATGAGTGGGCCATTGTTTTATGTATTTTACAAATATGAATTTTTTAAATTTTGTCCACATCCTCTAAGTACTATTATCATCAACTGCTCTTTACAGATGATGAAACTGAGCCAAAGAGAGGTGAGATAACCTCTTCAAAGTATCAGAGCTAGTAGACAGATGGAGCAGGAATTTGTAGCCAGACAGTCTGGCTCCAGAATCCAGGCTTTTTTTTTTTTTTTTTTTTAAGAATTATTTTATTTAGCTTTTTTTCTTTTCCCTTCCTCCCTTTCTTCCTTCCTCCCTCTCTCTTCTTTGTTTCTTTCGTCTTCTTCTTCCTCTCTCTCTCTCTCTTATCAGATAGGAACAGAAAGAGAAAGTGAAAAAGTCAGCCACCAGATCTGGGACTCTAACCTCAGTTGGCCATGTGGGAGTCCAGCGTCCTTAACCACCATGCCACCTGCCTGAAATATTACCTTTTAACCTTTTTTTAATTTTTTTTGAGAGGTTTTCGCTATAGGGCATGTGCGCTCGCCAGACAGAGACAGACATAGAGACAGAAAGCGAGAAATCACCCCCTGGGGGGATGGTCACACCACAATCCCTTCTC